TATATACGATTAAGGAGCGAAAACAATAAAATAACTGGAATTAAGAATACAGCAGATGACGATTGACATTGCATTTAAATGTTTCAAGATCAAGCTTGACTGGGAAGCAAGAAGAGAATTTCACAATCGAGAAGTAGAATAGAAGAAACTCTTAGCATAGAACTTGCAGTTACATCTAGATATTTCAACAGTAAAATGATGATATTGTGTCGCCAATCTCGATACTGCACTTGAATTCATATCTCTAGGTACCATAGAGGAATGTTCCTCTGAACAATATCCCTGAAAGTATTTATAGAAAAGGCACAGGGAGACTGTGATGGGAAAGTGACTTAAGACGAGATGCCAGGTTAGAGAAAAATAACATTCCAGATTCTTTGTTGGATATTTATCAAGAATATATATATATATATATATATATATATATATATATATATATATATATATATATATATATAAAAAAAAAACAGACCACTTTAAGGTACCATTATAATAATTTATTTCACCAGAGTCCTTTTAAAGGACATGGATCATCAGATAGCACTTCCAAAAATGAAATGAAACGAAAAATGAAATTAAAATTGATGGGTAGTGTCAGTTTTTGCAATTTAACAGAGAGTTAATTATATATATATATATATATATATATATATATATATATATATATATATATATATATATATATAGAATGAACTCCAGAGTAGATGTGGCAGGTTATATATGTTTTCATTTGAAATCAAGAAAATATAAACTTTAAGGAAGATGATTACAATCAATCGAAAAAGAAAGACGTTAAATTTAATTTAAATATGTCAAAAGATTCCTGGTCAATGGGGAAATTTTATCATATGTGAGCAGAAAAATTTGATCTATCTTCCGATAAAAAAATTAAAAACTGTATTTTAGTTTTAAACTATCTAAAAAAGACTTTTGTTTTCGTTGGTTTGTTTTTTAGACAATTTATCCAATTAGGACCTGCACACAAAGTAATTTCCAAGAGTTTGCATAAATCTTAATTTTAACTAAAGTTTGATTTTTTTTCAAGCTTTATTTAATTAAATACAACATTCTTTCTTCAAAAAATAGGTTATTTAAGAAATACAGTTTTGTCTCTTTCATCTTCTTTTATATATATAATCTCTTTTCCGGATGTTGATGATCAAAACTCTCCACAGATTTCTCACTTTTAAAGCTCTAAATAACATCTGACTCTATACTATAGATCTTCATCTTTGATTTGCCATCCATTCATTTGCCTTCCTGTGAGTAATAAATTCTCCAAGCCTTCTTTTCTCAGCATGATGGTAATAGAAGCCCTGTAGACCTCCCTATGTAACACAGGACCACAGCCTCCCCTACGTTAGTTGTTGTTGCAGTGTTTTCTGTGACAAGTAGTTGGGGATGCCAGCTCCAGACCAAACCGTTTTGAATTCAAGTTTTCCTTCTCCTAGACTGATTACCAACCAAGGAGACCGTTCTTCCCTGCAATTGATTCCTAGCTTGAGCAGGGGTTTATGGCATAGATTCATACCTTTCTAGAGGTATTTGTTTCGAAAGCGAACGCAAAGGCCACGGATGAAATTTGCACTCGACGCACCACACGAACGTTTCTTCGGCGATAGCACCTATTCATTTCCACATCAATTTCTTCCATTTTTTTTGTAACGACTATTTCGCTTATAAAATCCTCAATATTCACATGTGTTTGTTTTTTTGTTTTTTTCATAGAAAGATAGGTATTGATCAGTAAAACCACATCTCTGTTGCTTTGTCTATTTTACATCTAGGAGGACATTACTCGGTCTTCACTGCCATATAAGGAATTAAGTATTACATAGCAATGTTTTCCAGGATTGATTGATAATTCAAGATTCCTGTAGAAGTCAAATGACTTAACTGCTAACATGGCTACCTTCTTGGGGCTCCTTTGAAAGCCAAGCCAGCTAATTCTACCTCATTTATAGGAGAGTACATAATGCAGCAGGTGGGTTAGTCCACTTTGCTGGAATGGACCTGCCCAACACATTTGCATGAGTGGACTCTATTCACCCATATATCTCTCTATTAAATGACTCGGGGCAAGAAGGCAACTTCAAGTGACCACACCAGTCTACTTGTGTGTCAGACCACGTGCAAGTTAACCAATATTCTACAATTCCGAGCGCTGCAATGGCTATGAATACTGGCTCACCTTGCATTTTGTAACGAGTCGACCCAAGTTATCTTTTACTTATTGCAATCCTTGACGACGATGTTGCAAAGTATAAGCCAACTCCTAAATCATATTTATTGATCGCAAAAGAATTTAGCGGAACCACCTGTTCATTATAATGCATTGCTAAAACGGCCAGGAATGGCAGCTTCCACGTTTTGTTGATTTAGAATTGTTTTCAACGATTTTCTGCAAAGAATTTGAATTGCCATCAGGAATCCAAATGAGTAATCATGGGTGTGTGTATGACTTTATAGGCATTTGTGGCGTAAGGAATGTCCAACTTAATTGGTCTACAAATGCGTCGAACTCATCCCAAAAGATGAACTGCTTGTCATCTGCTAATGAAATATTTGTGTTCATGTTCGGTCATAATGCAAGAAGGAAATTGAGAAAAGCGGAGATTTGGAAAACGCAAGTCAAGTGAGATGGAAATATAGGCAGAATAAGTGAAATCATAAATAACATAGATAGATAGATAGATAGATAGATAGATAGATAGATAGATAGATAGATAGATATGAACAGTCTGAGATAGATAGATAGATATGAACAGACTTAGATAGATAGATAGATAGATAGATAGATAGATAGATAGATAGATAATGAATAGAGATAGATAGGTAGGTGGTAGGTAAGCTTCACACCCACGTTTATTCCACATAAAAGGGTGTCAATGTATTCTCATAAACTCATCAATGGTAACAAAAATAATTTATCCAATATGGCTTTCATTAATTTCAATTACAGATTCAACACCACCTCAAAAAATGCGCATAGTTACTTCTGTTAGGATATGTGAGGGTCTTCTTGATGAATTGTTAGAAAACACCGCTCTTCGTGTAGTTTTAGCGGGTTCAAGTCCGGGCTGCGTGTGACAGAAAACAATTTTGAAGTTTGCTTTGAAGAACTTCCCTGGGAGCACCATGGTGGCTTCACACATAATCGCAAGCTGGATAGCTATTTTGGGTCAGGGCCAATGATAGTACCTCAGAACCTTGATTATGTGTCAAATTCTCCGAGATTTTAGTAGAACAGCATCACCGTTTTCCTGCTGGAGGCCACGTGCTTAACTGGATGTTCGCTTATGAAGGTGCCCTTAACTTAACAAAGTTTTCCCTAATTCAATATTTAAACATCTTCTCAGTCAGGGAATATTTTAACAACGGACAACTGATATTAGACCCACTCGAGAACTTGCTTTCTTCTTCCCCACCGACTGACCGTTATGGCAACTCATGTTTCCGCACGCAAACTCAAGTTAAGCAAGATCAAGCCTGGTAAGTATCTAGATGGGTGAATACCAGGTGCTGTAAACTTGGATGTGCGGGTGATGTAATGAATAATGGCTTGGAATTGTTAATCGGAGAGCCGAGTTCAATTCCAGTTGAATTTTTTTATGTTGACTTACGCACAAATTTCATTGTTCTTGCTTTCGTAGATTCACTGTTTCCCTCTTCAGCTATGCGTTAATTATTAATATTTGTATCACTAAAATCATTATTATCTCAAACAAATTCTACAATCTAAAATATGTTCTGGTTTTAAAGGACCTGCAAAGTTTTGGTAAGCCGTAAAAACGAATTAATCAGTTACTTTCTGGACTCTGTTAATATACGCTAGTTATTCTTGCTGTCCGATTTAAGGACAATTGTCATACGTATTCGTTGTGACGGTGTTAGGGGTCCCACATTTAGAACAGCAGCTAACTTACGCAACACTTTTATTCGATACTTTAGCTTTGATCTTTTGATGCCGTTAATGAAATTCCACTGCCCGGCTGACGAGGCTAGCTGTAGATGTTTCATCATCATCATTTTCACATCGGAGACAGCATGTTCGATTAGTTCACGATGCAAGTCTGGCAAAGTTTGCTACATGTTCTTCTGTAAATGTCTGTAGAACTCTTGGGAGATTTTAGTTTACATTTGACCACAAGTTTAGTTTCCTCGTCATGTTTTTCGGACAACCTGTGATAGATAGATAGATAGATAGATAGATAGATAGATAGATAGATAGATAGATAGATATGAGCGGACTGAGATAGATAGATAGATAGATAGATAGATAGATAGATAGATAGATAGATAGATATGAGTGGACTGAGATAGATAGATAGATAATGAGCAGACATAGATAGATAGATAGATAGATAGATAGATAGATAGATAGATAGATAGATAGATAGATAGATAGATATGAGTGGACTGAGATAGATAGATAGATAATGAGCAAACATAGATAGATAGATAGATAGATAGATAGATAGATAGATAGATAGATAGATAGATATGAGTGGACTGAGATAGATAGATAGATAGATAGATAGATAGATAGATAGATAGATAGATAGATAGATAGATAGATGGATGAGATAGATAGAATGAGCAAGTGGACTGAGATAGATAGATAGATGAGCAAACGCAGATAGATAGATAGATAGATAGATAGATAGATAGATAGATAGATATGAGCGGACTGAGATAGATAGATAGATAGATAGATAGATAGATAGATAGATAGATAGATAGATAGATAGTATAAACAGACTGAGGTAGGTAGATAGATGCCGTTACATTTTAATTCATTATTTACAAGTGACAAAGTTTCTCTTCGTCCCCAGCATGACTTTAAAACGATACAGAGTTTCTTCCGCATTTTTCATCTCATTAATTTTCATGGTTCTTTGCTTTCGTAGATTTTTATACCCATCTCCGCTAAACGCAACACGTTTCCTAGTCAAATTCGGTCGTTTCCTTTGAAAAGATTTGTGTCGAAGACAGACAAACTACTCGTAGCTCGTCTTGAAGGGATTATTTGTGAAGGAGAATAAAAGGGTGACGTAAAGAAGAGAAAGAAAAAAAGAAGGAAAAAAAAGAAGGAACCTAAGAAAAAAGAAAAGGAAGAAAAAGAAGAGCTGAGTATAATGTAGAATGAAGCTGAAATGAAAAAGGAAAGTAAAAAATGGCAGTGAGAATAAAAAAGAAAGAAAATACACGGGAAATAGAGGAGGAGGATGAGGAGGAGGAGGGGGAAGAGTAGAAGTAGAGGGAAAGGAATTAGAAGAAGAAAGTGAGAATGAAGAGGTAACGAAAAAAGGAAAAGAGTAAAGAGGAGAAGAAAAGACGGAAAGACAAAAGAGAGGACACTGTAGGAAGTGGCGGAGAAAAAAAGCGGAGTATGATAAAGGAGAAAAAGAAAGAGAAAAAGGAAAAAGAGAAGGCGACATAAGGGAGAGAAAAGAAGAAAATGGAGAAAAAGAAGAGGAAGAAAAAGAAGAAAAGGGGTCGATGGACATAAAGTAGAATAAAGCTGAAAGAAAGAAAAAAGACGAACGAAATACAAGAGGGAGATGGAAAATGGAGGAATAAAGGTGAAAAAAAAAATTAAAATTAGGAAAAAGATTAGGAAATAACCGAAAGCGGGAAAAGTAAAAAAAAAAAAAATAAATAAAAAATAAGTACGATGAACGGCACACCTTGCGCAAATGGAATAATGGTTGTTACCTGAATTCGAATCTTGGCTGAAGATCCCCCTTCGCTTTGCTTTCGAATTGTTTATTGAAAAAAACGAAGAAAACATCATTGGGAAGCATTTAGATTAAAAACTACAGCAACAAGTCGACATAAGACACGGTTTTAAATAAAGAACGCGGTGTCTGAAAAAAAAACACTCGCTGCCACCCGAACACATCAAGAAAGGAAAACAATGAGAAAAATGAATAAAAATGATTTGGAAATAAAAAGAAGAACAAATTAGTTCACAATTAAATAAGTTTTTTCAGTAAAACAAATATTAAACCTTAACTCTCAAAAGTGCTTACTTTTCACAAAGTTCACGAAACAATAGATTGGGCGCCATTGTTCTTTTGTCAAATCAAATCAAATAAATTCGGTTTCTTTTCCAAGGTATTTTGACGTGCAGGTAAGAAGTAATTACTTTGTTCCCGGAATTTTTACATGCGTCTCATGTCATCCTTTCTATTAGACTTCTAATAATTTGTTTATAAGTTACACTGATCTATACTTACTGTCATAAACAGTATATAATGTTTTTTCGAGCCGTAGATTGAATGTTAGGACAAAAGTTCATGAACAGACCGTTATGCAGATGACGTATTTGGTAAATCTGTTTTGAAGTGGGACAAAAAGTGGCTTGTTAATTTTAACGGCTCGAAAGCGAAACTACTCTCTCTTAATCATCTTAAACAATCTTTTTGCCGTCCATCAACATTATAGCAGATGCTAACCTTCAGGAGAGCAACATGCTCTGCCTTCTTGGTCTCACATTTTCCACTGACATGAAGTGGAATGATTATATTGACTCAATTGCTAACCCTGCTTCTAGGAAAATCTGTTCTCTATGTTATGCTAGACCATTCTGGCTACATTATAAGAGTCTGCCATTCATTTGTGTATCGAATATTGCTGCCAATTTTGGTCTGGTGGTTTTCTTATGTGTATAGAGATTTTTAACAAAATCTAAAAAAGAATCTGCAATTTTATCAGTCCTGATCTTGCATCTCGGCTTCATTTACTTCCCGTTTCATCTTCTATAAATATCTACACGGTAATTGTTTTGATGAGCTTTCCTCGTTGGTACTTCAATTACACGTATTTAAGCGCAGTACTAGAGTGGCAGTTAGGTCTCGTCATTTCTCTATTGAAATTGTTAGTTGTAAAAAGAAGTTCTATGCTGAGAGTTTCATCTCTCGTAGTTCTCGATTGTGGAACTCTTTCCCGTCTCTTCAAAAATCTAAAATCAATATCAATCATCATCTGTCCTCTTGAAAAGATCGGCGGCTTTGTACAACTGGCAAGGGACCAGAAAATGAAATCGTTTGTTTTGTTTTATTTTCACTTTTCTCATCATATTAATGATGCTCACAAATGCTCACAGAACTTGGTTTCTTAAAAAGTAATAAAAAAAAATATATCAAAAAACGAAATACATAATCTGGAGTGATTAATTCGTAGTATAAAGAAAGTTCTTCACATTATGAATTCCCACCAAAGTTATTTTTGACGTTTTTTAGAATGTCTATGAGAATATTTATTTTCTATCTTATATATATATATATATATATATATTACAATGAATCATTCATACAAAAAGTAGATTAGTAAAGTTAATAATATAAAATGGCGAAATCCTTTCGCAAACAAAATTTTTAAAGTTGCATTAACCTACGAACCATTCGATGAATGTTAGGATCCTTGTTTTTAATAACTACAAGCTGTATAAGAATTTTTTTTAATCTGCAAGTACTTTCAACTGTACATTCAGTCATCCTCAGGGATGGAAATTATTTTGTTTTTAGTAAAGTCCAGGTAGCATCAGAGACGAAAAAATGTTTTTTTTTTTAAATGTGTTATTGTTACCAGATACAAACTTTTGGAGCGTGTAGTCGCAACGCTAAGGTTGAATTTTTTTTTTTTAAATTTAAGAGAGTGCGTTTTTTACTAATATGAGAATTTGAGAATTTTGTTGTTTTTTGTAGGAGTTTATCAGTAAATCATATCATATATATTATGATATGATTTTATTTTTATGTTTGTCATGCTGGTTATTCAAAATAAGGGCACTCTGAGCTCTGGTTTTTATAATCGTTTTACGGGAAAGAGTCATAATATATATTTATCATATATATTATGAAATAGACTAAGTTCGACAATTATTCTAATATATCTATTGCTTGTACGTTATTGTTATGCCTACAAATATTTAAGTAAATGTTCTCTTTATAAACAGTATTAACAACATTTACCGTCGTGAATATCCGAGAAATGTCATAGAAAATATGTGTCCTCCGTCAGGAATCGAAACTTTCTCCTACACGTAACTGTCATATAGTCTGACGCGCTGAACCATCTAGCTACAGAGGAAGCCCCTGGTTAGCAAGGTCGAATTACTGCTTTTAAACTACAAATTTGCCATGATTTCTCTTGAACGCTCACTTCTGCTCGAAGCGTATCTTAACGTAAACAAATGCCATTTTCTCGGACATTCAGGCCGGTAAATGTTGTTAATACTGCTTATTGTAAACAAAGCATTTACTTAAATATTTGTATCTATAAATAAACGTATAACCAATATATATATATATATATATATATATATATATATATATAACGTTTGAAGTGATAGATAGATAGATAGATAGATAGATAGATAGATAGATAGATAGATAGATACTGTGGAAAAATAAGTGAAATTACCTGCGTGTATGTGGGTTGCGGACAGACGTGGGAAGTGAAGTGTTTTCCATGTTGGTTTTACAAAGGAAGGTCGCTCTGAGCTCTGGTTTTTATAATTGTTTTACCGGAAGGGTGGAATGCGCAGGTCTGCCACCTTCTTATTTAAAGCCTGCCTTCCTTCCCTTCTCGACTTTTTCTTTGTGAGAGGAACTTATGAGAACAGAGTCGTTCAGGAATCGCTCTTCTTCTCACATAGTTTACTCATCCCTATTTGGATTTGGGTCGCGAGATAGGCAGTGTTTGGCAACACTTACTGTATCGGACCGGCTTCTAGCTACCTTTCGAGTCGAAAAGGAATTTTCGACAATAGATAGATAGATAGATAGATAGATAGATAGATAGATAGATACTTCCAAAAGAAAAGATATAGTTAAGTTTTAAAATTAATTGTTAAATATGAAAAATGTCTCTTGAAGTTTTAATTTTAACTTTAATTTCAAGCTAATAGATTGAAGTTAATGTTTCTTGTAAGCAAAATATTTTGCTGCAGTTCAAGACGAATTTAGATTGACTGGAATTTTTTGCAAAGAGTTTTTTTTTTCCATTTAGAAAACATCGAAGTTTTAGTGTTCCATTTAATGATGACAAAAGTAGAATCCTTTTAAATTATTACAAGTTTTAAAAGTGGTGGAAGTTATGGCCCAGACAGTGCTAAATAAATGCATAGATCTCGAATTAATTGGTTTTAAATTTGGGACGCGTTCTCTTTCAACGTTTACTTTCATTTATTGATTGATGCTAGTCTGGTGCGTTAAACGTTGTATTTGATGTATCCCTGTAAAGACATTTGGGATTGGAAACTGTCGATTTTTCAGTCGTTTGTGTATCCCATCGGGTTTGTACCGATTCCATAAGTTGTGCCTAATTTTCTGATATGAAGAGTTATCATTATTTACACTATTTACAATCAGACTATTTTCAATTTTCTCCTCTACCCCTTCGATATCAATATATAACTTCCGTTAAGTTAACCGTTTAAATGTGTCAATGTCTGCTAACTCACTCATGTCTTCTCTCTCTCCCCCCTCACTTCCTCACTTCGTTAATTTACATATGTTTAATACGGCCCGTCAAAAATGTGTAAATTTTCTTTTCATTTTTTGTTTGGAAGTAAAGTCTGATGATCCACAGTCCTTTAAAAGGGCTGTGGTGAAATAATTTATCACATGGAACCTTAAAGTAGTCTGTTTTTATTTAAATTATTTGCTCTGGATTTACATTGAGCTCTCTGGATTTTATCCGCCTTAGGTTTACCCATACGGATAACCTAGTTTTTCATAAACTATATATATATATATATATATATATATATATATATATATATATATATATATATGTGTGTGTGTGTGTGTGTGTGTGTGTGTGTGTGTGTGTGTGTGTGTGTGTGTGTTCTTCGTCCTCGACCCTATATATATATTAATTGATTTAAAATATGTTTTTTCACTACACAATTCTAACCATGTTTCAAAAATGGAAGGAAAAACTTCGAATTTAATTTTGTGATTAAATTAAAGACATTAGTTCCATTTCATCCTCAAGCGAATTTTGAAGTAACTTATTTATTACTGGGTTTTAAACTCGCAGCAAAAATCATAATTCACGTTTCCAAGGATACAGAGAAATCTATTCATCCAGACAAGGGGTGTTTGCGTGTTCTTTATCGCTGTATTTTGTTTTATCAGTTATTAGTTACGTTTTAAGGGGTAGGGATGTATTTTCCAATGAATTCTGACATCCGTTAAATGCATGTCGTCTGGATTTTTTTTTTAAATTATTGTTAATGGCAAAAATTCTTACGGCATTTTTTTCTATTTGTATACTGAAAGATTTGGGGGGTGTTTAGGTTAGAATACGGTTTATTTAACTACGATTTCAAAAAGTATCTTCACTTTTAATTTTTAATATAATATATTTCTTTTTAAAACAAGTAAATGTATTAGAATTACTTACAGTATGTAAAATTATTTTCACATCAAGTATAAATATAAATTTAAATATTAATTAAGTAAAATTTATGACAATGACGGCAAAAATAGCTAATTAATTTCTCTGATTTAGTAAACTTTTATTTTTTATATATTTTATATAAAACCAGTAATATATAGTTTCTCATGTAAGTACAAAGGACATGGGTCATTCAATGACTTACATCTTCTAGCTTTTCATATTAATTTCATTTTACTCTAGGTGTTTTATTGGATTCTTTTAAGTGCTTGTAGTACTTTGAGAGAGGTGTTAAGGTTAGAATTCGTTTTATTTAACTACAATTTTAAATACAACTTTAAAATATTTTCACTGTTAATTTTAATAGACTATGTTTCTTCTTAAAATAAGTAAATGTATTAGAATTACTTACAGTAAGTAAAAGTATTTTCCATAGCAAGTATAAGTATGTATATTACCAGGTCACAATATTTAAAAAATTTCATATTTAAATATTATTTAAGTAAAATTTATGACAATTACGGCAAAAATAGTTAATTCATTTCTCTGATTTAGTAAACTTTATTTTTTATAAACTTAGGAATATATAATTTCTCGTGTATGTACAAAGGACATGGGTCATTTAATGGCCTACATCTTCTAGCTTTTCATTATAATTTCATTTTTCTTTAGGTGTTTTATTGGATTCATTTAAGTGCCGGTAGTACTTTGAGAGAGATGTTTAGGTTAGAATACGTTTTATTTAACTACAATTTTAAAAGATGTTTAGGTTAGAATTCGTTTTAACTACAATTTTAAATACAACTTTAAAATATTTTTACTGTTATTTTAATAGACTATATTTAAAAAAAAAACAAAAAAAAACAAGTTAATGTAATAGAATTACTTACAGTATATAAAATTATTTTTTCACCTTAAATATAAGTATGTATATTACCTGGTCGCACTTTTTAAATTTTTTCTTTTTTTAAAGAAAATATTATTTAAGGAAAATTTTTGACAAATACAAATGTGTCTCTTCACACGAAGAGACACATTTGTATTGTCGAAATATAATTGCCATTTTTTACCATCTAGTGATTGAAGAAAACTTATAGTATAAGTGTATATAATACATGTATGTATAGTATAAGTGTATAAGTGTATAGTATAAGTGTATTATATATAAGTGTATCTGTGTATGAGCTTTGGTTAATGATTCATGCTGCGATCATATTCAGCGTGGTGAAAGAATACAGCATTTTTGGAACATTCTACCGCATTTTTACTCAGTAATGAGAGGGGATGTAAGATCAGAAAGAAATGATATATTTGCAGAAAGCCTCGAAGATACTGTTAACAAATCGTTCAATTTCTAGTTGAACTGATCGGCCAAAAGCAGAAAAATATTGATCAATAATCAATCAGGCGAAATAACTTTTGCGTGAGATGTCGATGATAGATAAAAAAAAATGTATATATATGGCAGACATCTTTTGAGATTTGCTTTATCGGCACTAAAGTCTTCTGAAGCGATTTCATTTTTATCAACACCTCGTGTAAATTTCGTTGACTAAACGAGAACGGGTGAAAATCTACAAAAATAATTGTTCTCCAACTCTCCTGTTGCGATAAAGCGTTGATGAAACAATGGCTAAATTTGCGATTCCTTAATCTAATTTGCCTCCCATCATGCTTTTTTTTAATTTTTTATTCGTGCTTTTTTTTTTTTTTTTTGTGTGTGTGTGTGTGTTTTTTTTTTCTTACCGGTTTTACTCGACTGTTTCCATTTCATTTTCTTTCTTTCTTTCTCTTTTAAAGATAATTCAATCTCTCTTTTTGATTTTCTTCTTCAATTTCTTTCTTTCTTTTTAATTTTACAACGTTCATTCCTTAGATTATATCCAGCTTTTACGTACATACATTCACTTTCACTTTTCTTCTTCAGTTTGCCTTTTACTTCTCTCACTCTCACTTCGTTCTTTCACTTTCTTTTACTTTCCTTTTACTTTCTTCAGTTTGCCTTTTCTTCTCTCACTCTTCTTCGTTCTTTCACTTTTACTTCTTCAGTTTGCCTTTTACTTCTCTCACTCTTATTTCGTCACTTTCACTTTTACTTCTTCAGTTTGTCTTTTACTTCTCCCACTCTCACTTCGTTCTTTCACTTTCACTTTTACTTCTTCAGTTTGCCTTTTACTTCTCTCACTCTCACTTCGTTCTTTCACTTTCACTTTTACTTCTTCAGTTTGCCTTTTACTTCTCTCACTCTCATTTCGTTCTTTCACTTTCACTTTTACTTCTTCAGTTTGTCTTTTACTTTTCTCACTCTCACTTTCTTTCATTTTCACTTTTCTGCTCTCATTTTCACTTTCCTTCTTTCATTTTCATTCTCCTTCATTCATTTTTACTTTTCGTTTTCATTTTCATTTTCCTTCTTTCACTTTCACTTTACCTCTTTCATTTTCCTTACAACACCGGGCAAAAACCATATATGGCGACCCAGATACATACCAACAACAAATGAACAGCGTCAAACATAACCTTTAGAATAACATCTACCCGGCAAACATGACATCAACGCCTCCAGCTGGGAACAGAAGAGATAAGGAGGATGACCAGAAACTTACGTCAAGGACCTACTGGAACAACATTCAGAATATGTACGCTCCATACAACATCTGATGCAGTTGGACTCTATGGAGATATCTGTGCCGAATAAAGCACAACACAGGGGAGAATATGACCAAACAAATTGAAAATTCGTAATGAGAGCTGAGACACTGTAACCGGGCATGGCTGATGATATATGGAGTAGAAAAGTGTGAGTCATCAACCACTGTGGGATGAAGTAAAAATATTGAACAAGGAATAATAATGGAGATTTAGACGTCTGAAAGAATAAGCGCATATGCTAGACTATGAGCACCTCTTTAGGCCCAGCAATACAGTCAATACATGACAGACAACAGCAACCTTAACAGCAACAACTTAATCATCAGCAGCAGCCTAATCAGCAGTGGCAGCCTAATCAACGGTGGAGATTATGTTCAAGACCCTGAGTTTACTCCAGTGGGACAATGGTCTAGGAGGTTTGTGAAAGAGTTGGTTTGTGAATTTGATGATATAGTGATTGTGAGTTGAATCTCTGGGTTGGGCTGTGTGTACTTGACTCAGTGGAAACGGGTGAGAAAAACTGATTGTACCAAAAAAAAAACGAATATCCCTAGATATGACCTGTGGAATCCGAACAGTCTACGCCATTAAATTAAGGTTCAGATATACGCTAGAGGAAGACCGAAGATAAAAACAGCAAAGATAAAAATAACAAAGATGCAGACAACTGCCCGAATATAAATAGGGTAAAAAATAATTAGATTTATATGATAAATATTCGATGTGATTTTTCACTGAAGGCATTTGTTTTGCTTGTTACAATCACTTTTTAAGTGGCGCCAAAACATCACCATTCAATCAACTGTTACTTTTTAAAAAATAATGAATGCTATATTATTTTTTTAAAATAAATAAACAAACGCAGAACGTTGGGTGTGATAGAAAAGGAGTAATAATGATATTTACCTTTTGGGCCAGAAATCCGAAGTCTTGAGTCCTTGCATACATTTTAAAAAATTCCTCTTAAGCACGTATGAGGCTGGATAAAAAATTAACGTACGTTTCATTTAGCCGCCCCGCTACCACCAATACATTTATAATAACCTTTCTTTTCTTCTCTTCCCCTTCTTCTTCTTCTTCTTCTTCTTCTTCTTCTTCTTCTTCTTCACACCCTCATCCTCCCTTTCTATTGCACCCAACGTCGTGCATTTATTTATTTACTTTAACAGAAACAATAGTTCTTTTTTAAAAAAAATAAGGCCTTAAGAGGTCAGTTGATAAAGATACCATAAGGTTGAAACTAAAATATCTGATTCAACTGACCTCCTGATTTTTAAAGTTGAAACCTCTACATGTTATTTTTACTTTTATTTTATTTTTACACGTTTAGTGAGCACTTTTTAATACTCCTGTCACCTGGTCTGATTCAACTCTGACCATTAACCTTTTACACACACACACACACACACACACACACACACACACACACACACACACACACACACACAGATAAAACTGTTGTCAGATGTTTCAAGTGTATATTTTTTTAAGTTAAGCAAGTACTTTCGAAGAATCATTCCTTCATCGTCAGGCTGTAATTTTTTCCTTTAAAGTTACAACTTGAAGACGAAATAATTGTTTGTAGACCGAAAGATCTTTTTTTAAAGAGTGTGCTATTTATTGACGGTTGTACAATCTCAGAACGTGCTAGTTGCAAATATATGCTGCCTAATTTAATTAATATATATATATATATATATATATATATATATATATATATATATAATCTAAACAGAAGTATACTGCCAAGTTGTTAGATGGTGGAGGCAGATTTTTTTCAAATCTTCTTCCTTTCTTTTTTTATTTTCTTCCTTTTTTTCATGCCACCTTTCTTCCTTTTAAATTAACAACTTCCATTTTTACATTAATTTCCCGTTTATTTCAAGTTTTTAATTTTTATACGAGGCTTTCTTATCAATCAACGCAGTGTGTTAATGGGGAACTGAATAAGGCTAATTTTGTGACGTACAGTAGCCGTTAATAATTAAATATAAAGCAAGACTTCAATGTTAAAATGAAACGGTATTTAATTACAACCGCAAATAAATACTGTGACGGGTATTACTCTTTTTCTTGCTATATGACAACAAATATTTGTACCCGATCATGGCCCGAATGATCCACTTTTTGATCCGCAGATGATATCAGTTATTAGTTGCTGAATAATTGAGTAAGTTTTTCATATTTATATATATATTTGAGACGCAACCAAGATGAATCATTCTTTGCCGAGTAGTAGAGGAAGTTTTACGTGTTTATGTTTTCCTATTGAAAGGTATCTGGAGAAGTGGATTGACACCAAGTTTTGTGTGAAGATTGGTAACAGTGCTAGTAAAGATTTTCACAGGGAATTTTACTAATCTATTAAAATACTATTTAAAATGGCTCAGGGTAAACATTCTATGAGGCAATCGCAGGTTTTCGAGAAACACGTGTAGGTCAAGTAATGACGAAAAGATGTGCATAATGATACGAGACGTGAGAGTCAAAAGAACACATACAAATTTATTCTCCAATTTGCATCTTTGTGCAAACCATGTTGCGCTCAGATCGAAGATTAAGTGTGCGAATGACAGCAAAACTAAATAGGAATAAGGAAACTATACGGTTTATTCTAACAAAGCATTTGACAATGAGAAAAATGAACCAATTGGATTTTGCGAGTTCCTGGATAAGAAAAATCGATTACCAAGATGGAAGTCATACACCTTTTTCAACAGATTTAACCCTATGTGATTTTTGGTTATTTCCAAAATTATAAAAAATCTTGGCATATCTGATGTCAGGCTATACCTGCCTAAATTACTGGAAGGTGTTCTGATAAACGAGATTGAAGAATGTTTCCAGGAATAATATCTTCGTCTTCAGAAGTCAATAGCTTCACAATGGCAGCGTCTTTAAGGTGACGGCAGCCATTGATGAAGAGTTAATCAAATGTTGCTTTTACTGGATACTTCCGGTGATTGTCACACTTCGTAAATATATTCTTTTCTTTTTTACCGATCATTATTTTCTTTCTTTATTTTATGTCATTTCTTTCTTTTTTTTTTCTCTTTTTCTATTCCTAAATAACATCTGTATTCTTTCTATTCGTCTTCCGATTCTTCCCCCTTCCTTCCTTCCTTCCTTCCATCTTCCCTTCTTTTGCGCCTTCCTTCCTTCTCTCCCTCCCTCCTTACATCCTTCCTTCCCTCTCTCCTTTCTTCCTCCCTTCCTTACCTCCATCCTTCCTTTCATCCTTCTTCCCTTCTTTCGCGCCTTCCTTCCTTCCCTCCTTCCTTCTTTCCCTCCTTCCTTCCCTTCTTCCTTCCTGCCCTCCTTCCCATCCTTCCTTTCATCCTTCTTCCCTTCTTTCGCGCCTTCCTTCCTTTCTTCCCTCCCTCCTTTCTTCCTCCCTTCCTTCCTTCCTTCCTTCCTTTCTTCCTTCCCTCCCTCCTTTCTTCCTCCCTTGCTTCCTTCCTGCCCCTTCCCATTCTTCCTTTCATCCTTCTTTCGCGCCTTCCTTTCTTCCCTCCCTCCTTTCTTTCTCCCTTCTTTCCTTCCTTCCTTCATTTCTTCCTTCCTGCCCATTCCCATTCTTGCTTTCATCCTTCTTCCCTTCTTTCGCGCCTTCCTTCCTATCTTCCATCCCTCCTTTCTTCCTCCCTTCCTTACTTCTTTCCTTCCTACTTCTTTCCTTCCTTCCTTCCTTCCTTCCTTCCTTCCTTCCTTCCTTTCCTTCTTCTTTCCTGCACTCCTTACATCCTTTCTTTCTTCCTTCTTCCCTTCTTTCGCGCCTCCCTTCCTTCATACCTTTCCTTCCCTCTCTTATTCCTTCCTCCCTCCCTTTCCTTTCTCACCTCCTTCATTACTCCACTCCTTCCTCCCCTCTTTCCCCTCCTTCCTTCTTTCTTTCCTTCCTAAATTTCATTCTTCCCTATCTTCTAGCCTTATTTCATTTGCCAGTTATTTATTTCTTCTTTCAATTCTCCTTCTTTCATTATTTTCTTTCGTTTATTTACACTCTTTTTTTTCTCCCTCGTTTAAACTTTCTCTTTTTGTTCGTTTCTTTCTCCCTTCATTTTTTTTCCATTCCTCAAATTCATCTTTTTCATTTTTATTCCTTTCTTTCATTTTTCTTCTTCTTTCTTTCACACTTCTTCTCAAATTCTTTATTATTCACCTACGCACTCCGTTGTTTGCATTTATTTTCCTTTTTCAGCTTTTTCATTCTTACTTGTCTCAATCCTTTATTAATTCATTTTTCAGTTAAACATTTCTTCCAATACTTCGATATAAATCTTTTCATTAGTCTCTTCCTTTAATCGTCCTAGTTGTCGATTTCGCTTTCTTTCATTCTTCAATCCTTTTTCTTGTAATGACCTCTACTTTTCGTACTTTCCATTCTTTTTTACCAAAATTATTCCTTAGTTTCCTTTATTTCATTTTTCCTTTCTTTCATTCTTTCCTTTTCGTATTCCCTTCTTTTCCATTTCTAACTTAATGTCTCTTTTTTGCTTTCATTCTATCTTTCATTCTTTTTATACTTCAATCACCTTCTTTTATTTCTTGCTTCAGCTTTCATTCTTTCAGTTTTCTCCTTTTCTAGGTCTTCTTTCCTCAATTGTTTTTTTCCTTCTTTTCAGTATTTTTATTCACGTACATATTCCTCGTTTTACATTTGCTTTTCCGCTTTTATTTATTCCTTTTTCCTTCCTTCTCTCCTCATCGTTTTTATTTCTTCCCTTGATAATTTCTTTCACGTTCCTTTATTCATCAACCACTAACATAATTCCCTTTCGTTTCGTTGAATTTTCCAATTGCACTGAGTTTTTATCAGCTGGATGCTTTTATATATCGTTCTACTTTCTTCTTAATTTTATACTGACATACCAAATTCATCCTATGATACGATTTTTCTTTATTAACACTAAGATGGCCGAGCGGTCGTTTTCGACACCTTCAAATTTTCAACAAATTACTATGGAATAACTAGTTTTGGTTCGATGCTTAGGCTTATGGACAATTATTGAATTTTAGCAAAGATGCTTAACAGACTTAATTCTTTAAAAAATATCCAGTGGAATATCTGATATTTGAGGTTTTACCTTGAATGGCCGAGGTGTTGTTTTTGACACCTAGGCTATTTATAGGCATTGAAAAATTTCTCACAAGCAATAATACTTGTGTTTATGTCCCCTATCTATCTATTTATCTATCTATCTATACACACACACACACACACACACACACACATATATATATATATATATATATATATATATATATATATATATATATATATATATATATATATATATATATATAACTTTCTTTTCGTATGAGGTATACTAATATTTGTGAATTTTCTTCCAGTCTTGTTATTCCTGACTTGAATATTGAATATATTAGAGATGGCTGCTTCACAGCATAATGTAAATAAATATGTCAAAAGAGCTGGCCATGCTAGTGTTAAGCTTGATTTGCAGACTAGTTCACATGTGTGAAGAATTAAAGAAAGATCTATAAGACGAACTAGTCTGTAAAAATAAAAAGAAACGACTATTAGCTGCAGCAATATGGAATACATGATTGTCAGCAAAAAGGACGACAAAAGCATGTAAGTCACCTAATGGAGACGTCGTAGTCAAGAAGATGCTGGTCTTTAATTATCAGGATGATATGGGAATTTGATGGCGGATGGGAGTAGAGAAAGTTGTTGTTTGTTTTTTTTCAGAAACTGGGTAATGTGTTAAGGTATAAGAAAATGTCTAGAGAAACAGAGAAAAGGTTTTAGATTGATTTTCTATATGGCAGGGGATTTTGGCAATTTACTCACAGATGAAGGAAAAACCTGAAACTACATACACGCGGTTAAACCGACAAATCCTAAAGTAACCATAGGCAGATTTTGTGACAAAATTAGGAACGTTTCAGGGACATATGAATCATGAAGAAACTGTCGCTAACAATCAGAGGCCGAATTTTGGTGGGACACAAAAAATGATAGAATAATGCTTCCACGATTCTCACTTTATGGAATACTTTTGTGTTATTTATGAAATATACTTATAAATCTTTCTGTACACTATTTACATTATTCGGACTTTTGTTTTCATCTTTGTTGCCATATTTATTACAACGCTTCGGCCTTTCAGTATCTGTCTATATTTCTGAGACGAGGTATTATGTACACTATTTACATTATTCGGACTATTGTCCTCATCTTTGTCGCCATATTTATTACAACGTTTCGGCCCTTCAGTGTCTGTCTATATTTCTGAGATGAGGTATTATGTACACTATTTACATTATTCGGACTATTGTACTCATCTTTGTCGCCATATTTATTACAACGTTTCGGCCTTTCAGTATCTGTCTATATTTCTGAGATGAGGTATGATGTACACTATTTACATTATTCGGACTATTGTCCTCATCTTTGTCGCCATATTTATTACAACGTTTCGGCCCTTCAGTATCTGTCTATATTTCTGAGATGAGGTATTATGTACACTATTTACATTATTCGGACTTTTGTTTTCATCTTTGTTGCCATATTTATTACAACGCTTCGGCCCTTCAGTATCTGTCTATATTTCTGAGATGAGGTATTATGTACACTATTTACATTATTCGGACTATTGTCCTCATCTTTGTTGCCATATTTATTACAACGTTTCGGCCCTTCAGTATCTGTCTATACTTCTGAGATGAGGTATTATGTACACTATTTAAATTATTCGGACTATAGGTGGTTGGAATGTCGAACTGGATCCTTTATTTCGCTCGCTGTTATAGTTCCACGTGCCATGTCTAATGGATGTCAGTTATCAGTTAGTTCCTGTTAATTTACCTCTCGAAGTTCTCCATTGCTTTAACAAGGTTTTGAACTCACTACTCTTTGGGTCCTATCACTGAATCTAACCAATGCCATTATCTACCTGAAGAAGGCTGGAGCTTACAACGGCCGAAACGTTGTGATAAATATGGCAACAAAGATGAGGACCATAGTCCTAATAATTTAAATAGTGTACATAATACCTAATTAATTGTATGGAGAGTTGATGTATAGTTGTTAACAAAAGAAGCAATCTAAGAAAAGAGATACATATTAAGGACATCAAAATGAAGAAGGAAACACTGGTTAGGTTACCAGCTATGGGAAAATAGTTAACAACCAAACTGGGGTAAATAAAAAACTATGAAGGTGTAAAAATAATACTTATCTTAATATCAGAAATACTTCGTGAAAAAATTATTAACAGCAATACATTTTAGGCAAAAAAATATATAAACCAGCAATACTTTTTGGAAAAAAAATATTACCAGCTATACATTTTTGGAAAAAAATATTACCAGAAATAGATTTTCTGTAGGAAAATTATTACTAGCAATATATGTTTGAAAAAAATAAATAATACCAACAATAAAAATGTTGTCGGCATTAAATAACCCATTGAGGTTGATATGCCGTAAAACAAAATAAACCAAACCAATCTAAAGCAAAGAATACATATTCTATTCATACGAATCTATCCTAAAAATGTTGTCGGCATTAAATAACCCATTGAGGTGTTGATATGCCGTAAAACAAACCAAGCCAAACCAAACATTCCGTTTCTTAGCTTTATCTGTTATCTTTCTTTTATTAAGTCGATAATTACAGCTGCCTTCTTTTTTTTTTCTTTTTTTTTTCTTTTTTTTTATGCCATTTTGCCTCCTTACCCTCTTCTATGCTAACGTATTTGTTCTTAACTAATGTTGCATCTGTTTGCATATGGAATTGCCGTGTTGTTTGTTGTATTACATATTAAGCATTGGTTTGAGGTTTGTTTTTAATATTTGTAGTTTTACCCTAAGCCTATTTTGATATAGGGGATCATTTCCCCAGTGATCGGTTGAATGTATTTCAGAGTAAAAAAAAAACAAAAAAAAACTGCATTTCTCAATTATTTGTTCCTGATTACCGCTTCGTCGAGTTTTTTACGTTTTCCTACCAAATTCACAAACGTCTTTCTGTATTTTGTGATGTCAACGCACACTCGTTGTCACTTTTGTTGTAGTATAGACTTTGTAATCGCAGATACAACTATAGTACGCCGCTGAAAAATACTGGTGTTAGACACCATCGAATATCACTCGCACTAATAGTACTTGCTCGATAATATTCGCTCGAATAGTAATCCGTATAGTGATAAGTATAGTGAAATAGTATAGTAAATAAAGTAGAAATAGCAGTCCGTATAGTAATAGAGGATAGACTAGAAATGGCGATCGTTAGTCGTCAGCTATTTCCTACATATATGCGTTTCCTCTATGGTCACGTGGTTTACTTAATTCAATAATGGGATCGCCTGTGTTTGCTGACTGGTGATCTATGTTCAAACTCAATTGTCGGCAGCGACACTTTATTCCTATATAACACTGTACTTAAAAATCATGTCGTTATCTTGTCCCTGTCTTACTTTTGCAGTCAGTCAGTCAGTCGCTCACTTTCTGAGCGACTGTTCGGTTAAACTCTCTTCCTACGGACGGGAGAAACCCGAAGGAGGATCCGCCGAAGGGCGGAGTCTCCTTCGGGGAGGTAAAACCGGCCCTGAACCCGTTTATACGGGTTCAAATGGGCTATTTTTTGTCCGAGCCTAATGGCTCGGGAATGCCCACGTTAAAAAGGCCTTGTGCCACATGACACCCTCGTGGGGGGTGGGGTTGACTGAATATCGTCTTACTTTTGCATTCAGGTCTCTTCGGGTAATGATAATTTCTCTTGTCTGTTCTTATATTTGGTATTTTAGTGTCTTGTAAAATGCATCAATTTCTCTTTCTGTGATTTCTGATGTAGGTGCACTTATTACTCAGAGGATTACATTGAACGGCTTCCCTTTTAGTTACACCAGAAGGATTTTGCGGACAGTTGTCAGTATATCAAAACGGACTTCACCTTATGTTTATCGTATATTAGTCATACTCCTCTTTTTTTTCGCTCCTACGTATATATGATTCTGTGATCGCTGCTTATAAAAAAATTTTGTTTTATATTTTCTAATTTTCTGCATTTGTAAAGCGTCGTAGCATTCCATGATGTGATTGTGATCTTTGTTGCGGATCGTCGCTGGATATGGACCAGGCGACACATTAGATATGTTTCTGTTCACCAGACTAGGAGTCAGTTCCATCAGATCTGAGCCCGTTCGCGCCATTATCTGATACTTTTGAGTTGCGAATTAGTGTTAATTTATCCGTTGCCTTTTCTCTGCGTTGATTTCATCGCATCAACCCTACTGGGTTTGCTGTTGAATTTTTTCAACTTCATCTGACCTTTGATAGATATTAGTTTTTCTTTGGGTTTTTTTTTCTTCTCTTAAGCAGATTTCTATCCACACAGAAGCGAAATCGAGGTTTAATCAGCTACAATACCACAAAAAAGTAGATTATATTTCCCTTTCCATGGTTGTTGTAAATCTTTCCACATTAGATGCGGGAAATATATTAATCTTCCCGTCATGACTGGTCAGGATTAAAAGTGAGCTGCAATATGATGTGTACTTGGCCAACTGTCAGGGTTTGGGCCGTGGATTTCTGTCTTGGGCCAATGGGGCAAGACTTTAACAAAAAGTTCTCAAGGGTGGAAGACTTCTGTGGGAAAATTTCCTTGCCATAGGCAAATAGTTGAATTGACTGTAGAAGTTTCCAACAATATGGCTAACCCTCGAAGATCAATATTCCGAGTTTTAATATAATTAGTATATATATATATATATATATATATATATATATATATATATATTTCTGGGATGTAGTATTAAGTACGCTATTTACATCATTCGGACTATTATTCTCATCTTTGTCGCCATATTTATCACAACTTTTCGGCCGTTGTACGCTCCGGCCTTCTTCAGGTGGTTGGAATATCGAATTGAACCCTTTATTTCGCTCACTGGGGTAGACTATTCTAGTTCCACGTGCCATGTCTAATGGATGTTAGTTATCTCCTGTTAATTCCTCTCTCCAAGTTCTCCACTGCCTTAACCAGGTATTGAACTCACACTCTTTGGGTCCTGGATCTTTGGTTATGCACTCGCTGTCTGATATTTATGCATTTCTGGACCGATTTTGATGAAATTGTACTCACATGTTTCAAGACCAACTTTTCAATCTCCAGAACCAAATCCTCCCACCCCGGGTTTGGTAGGAAAATTGATAAAACTGAAAGTGGGTACAACTTTTTACAAAATTCAAGGCAAAGTTACACGCGAACAAAATTTTTATTGAATAAGCTGATATTCTTTGCACTTAATGCAAAACATAACAATGTTTTGCATTAAGTGCAAAGAATATCAGCTTATTCAATAAAAATTTTGTTCGCGTGTAACTATTTAGATTTATGTAGAGTGCTTGATAGTTTTCCTGCGACATCAGCTTCACACAAAAAATTGCAAAAAAATGTGAAAAAATCGTGTTTTTCGTACTACTTAAAAATAAAAACTACTTCCTCAATTTTATCAGATTTTCTTCAAACATGTCGCAAAAAATTTAACATCATGCAAGAAATAAATTCTGTGGTTTTAATTCTGCTCGTTTCTCCGCGTATAACGAAAAACCACAAAAAAAACTGTTCAAAAAGTCCGTTCTGATGAGTCCCAAATATATGATGGAACGACCGTCCAGTGCTTTCTGCATTCTGTTGAGGTTTGTTTTAGACTCGATGAATTACTTAATTATGATTATTTCAAATCCTCCTAATTATTTCTATCTATCTATCTATCTATATATATATATATATATATATATATATATATATATATATATAGATAGATAGATAGATAGATAGATAGATTTATATATAGACTAGTTTATTAGTCGAACGGTCTTTAATGAAGAAAATAAATCTTCGTCGTGTGAATTTATTCATAAAATGGCATCGACTGACTGAAATTCGTTCAGTTCGAAACTAATAGCCAAAACATGCGTTACATTCACACTCATTCTTAAGCTTTTAATACATCCATATATATATATATATATATATCAAAGCCAATTTGAAAACATGCGGAACATCAAGTCTGATTCTTATACTTTTAGTGTGTATATATATATATATATATATATATATATATATATATATATATATAGGTTGTTGGAACGTCTCCCTTTAAGGTAGTTCTTATCGGTCACCCCTTAACCACCTTTATCTAGAGACGAGACGCGTTAAATTTGAGCAACATCCCGCCGACAGACTGGGGTTAAAATAGGAAACTAAAATGATACATATGACACACTCATATCCTCTCTCCCACCTCACTTCCTCACTTCGTTAACTTTGCGTATACTTAATGAGGTCCGTAAAAAACGTGTGAATTTCTTTTCATTTTTCATTTCAGCTTTTGGAAGTAAAGTCTGATGATCCAGAACCCTGTTAAAGGGGTTATGGTGAAATAGCTTATTACATGGAATCTTAACGTGGTCTGTCTTTTATTCAAACATATCTGCTCTGAATGTTACATTGAGCTCTCTTGATATCATTCTCCTCAGGTCTACGCATACGGATTATCTAAATTTGCATAAACTAACTATATATATATATATATATAATGGCGTATTGCGGCAGCAATCCCTCTTTTATACATATTTTGTTAAAGACTACTGACAAGGTACGCGGTTGAGCTTTATATTTATTTTTCTCATTTTCCATTAATGTGTTAATCCCGGGTACTTTAATTTTATCCAAATGAAAGGAACAAATCTTGGCTGTCATGTGACTTTATCCGGATAATCAAGGAAAGTTCATAAAATCATATCGACTGACTGAAATTCGTTCAGTTCCCAAGCAATCTCATAGCCAAACGTGCATAAAATTCAGCCTGATTAATAATATGTGTGTGTGTGTTCTGTGTTCCAGTGTTTATGCGAGTGTGTTTGTGTGTGTTCGTGCATCTGTGTGTGTTCGTGCATCTGTGTGTGTTTTTGTCTGTATGCGTGCGTGTGTAAGTACGTGTGTATGTGTTTGTCTGGACTCTGGATGATGCCATTGGGGATTTGTCCGTTCATCAAATCTACGCTAATAAGTTTGAAAAGAAAAAGTTACTTCGAAAGTGAGTCTCTCGATATATCTTCCCTCTTTTCGTTGACAAAGATTTTTCGCGTGACACTGTCAACCAGTACGTCGTCTTTTCATCAAACAAACTGATTTCCGACTCTTGGGAGGAGATGCAACTATCAGGAAAGGGGTTACATTTTCGGTTGGAAGATTTTCAAACAGTTATTCCAGGATAAATTTTATCGTAAAAAAACTTTATAATTGGGAACGAAAAGTTTAGCGTGGACGAGGAGTGAATGTCCTAGAAAAATAGATTCAGGAACCGTATGAACAACTGTGAGGGGAGAGACCTTGTACTGTGACAGGGGAAAGGGATCGAGAGAGAAACAATACCTCCCTATTCCCTCTGCTCTCTCTCTCTCTCTCTCTCTCTCTCTCTCTCTCTCTCTCTCTCTTTATGCATGCACACACTACTGTCTCCCGGGCTACTTATTCTTCTGTCCCCTCATTATTAATGTTTCACTTCCTAATTATTCCACCACCCCTTATGTCTTAGTTGCTTTACTACCTAACTGGAGCGATCCCGATTAAAAAATCATATCTATCTATCTATCTATCTATCTATCTATCTATCTATCTATCTATCTAAGTGTCTTCATATCTCTCTATCTATCTCGCTGTTCAAATCTATATATCTATCCCAATCTATTTATATCTATATCTATATATAAGTGTGAGTTTGTAAACAGTGACTATTACGGCTAATAATGCAAGACTCTTCGGTAAATCGAATCGAGTTCTCTCAGTCACTGTATGTTTATCTAAAAATAAATACGCTTAAATTCACCTTCATCCCTGCCGTGCGACAACGGCTTAGGGGCAGAATCCCCGACTGACGCCAATTCATTCGGGTTTCGATCATAGCTAGAGGCAACCGGATGTCTAGCCACACTGATGAGCTGTGATACAGCGAAACAGTCTATCTGTGTATGACAATATATATATATATATATATATATATATATATATATATATATATAGAGAGAGAGAGGGAGAGAGAGAGAGAGAATGATATATATATATATATATATAATATATATATATATATATATATATATATATACAAGCAAGTATATAATTGGTGTATACGGAATGAATTCCAATAACCAACAATTACTATTCTTAAAAGAGTGCTCAATACAAAGTAGAGCAGATATAATTATTATTTATAAAAAAAAAATTATAACATAAATATGTTATAAAATCCCTACAAAAATAACCATTTTGTTTCAACACCTTCGGTGTCTTATCAAGTGATGATGTTGAAGGTAAAATAAAAAGTAAAAATACAAAGTCGACTTTCTATGTATTACTATATATATATATGTGTGTGTGTGTGTGTGTGTGTGTGTGTGTGTGTGCGCGCGCGAATGTGTGTGTGTAGATCCATTAATGACAAAAATAAACAATTTAAACTCACCGTTTATTACAAAAAGCTAAAAACATCAAAGATCCCCACCAACGATAAGACAAAAAATTCAAACTTCAAAAAACCAATGTTGCCTGTGAATTCTTTTGGTGCCTGTGAATTCGTTTGGTGACTGCTTCTATAAAAATAATCCAAAGATATTCATTGGTTTCCCTACCACAACATTGTCAGGCCGTTTAACATGTTTAACAATAGCTCTATTAAAACACATATCATCAATCAACACAAAGGAAAGCCAAAATAGGAAATCAAACAAATCAATTAACAATAACACAAAACTGCTATAACACATAAAACAGAAAAAAAAAACGACTACAGTTCTTAAAACATAAGAAAACAAGCAAAGATCAACAAAATTAAATCAAACCTTGGATTAAATATATTTCATAAAAAAAATTAAAGTAGAAGTCTATATATGTGCCATGTGTGATACACGCTTAGGCGATCATTTATCTTTCGATACATGACTGACGAGGCAGATTTTTCATCCGCAGTAGGTTGCCATTTCTTTCTACGGTAGACCAGTTGCCATCCAAAGCTATAGAACCCGATCTGTCTTGCAATTTACCCATAGCTTGGGGTGTGGAGAAGAGGATTTAAGTGGAATTCGAACTCGGCTCTTCGATTCCTCAATACACAAAATTCAAAAGGCTATAACATCCAACACGCTGAATACGATATTTAAACAAAAATTAAAGGACTTTCCAAAATGATGAGTGTTAGCCGAAGACAGAATTACGAACCGGAAATCAGAAAAAAAATATTAGAAATATTGAAAAGGGTCAATAACAAATAACCAGTAAAAGAAATTTCGTTGATTTTTCCTCAAACGTGCATAAATAAAAAATGCACCCAATTCAAATCCAATATATATATATATATACCGATTTCATTTATGCATACATAATTATGATAGTTTAATTTATAAATTAATCACGATAAGAGTTTTACAACAATGATGAATAATAAAACACTACAAGTCAAGCATTATTTGTCATTAAATATAGGTGGTTATATAAAAGTTCCGTGGTTACTGTAGATTTTAGTGACTTCACCACATTATCTTTCACCTTTTCACTTTTGCGTCTATCACTATTTTGGGGGCTTTAGGGCGATCATTAAGAAAGAATTATGTTTCTCTTTATTTCTGGGGTTGCCCATGGTTAAGTGAAACTGCGGGAAGCCACACATAAGCAAAAGCCACTCTATAATGTATAAGAATCAGACCTGTGGGGCTTTCTGGTTAATAGGAAATTATCCAAGAGAAGAAAGGAAATCGTAAACATGATGTAATTCTATTCGGATGATCAAGGAACGTCTTTCAAATGGGATCAACTGACAGACACACCTTCAGCCCCAAGGCTGTCTCGTTGCCAATCTGAAAACAGGTGTCACATTGTCTCCCAGTATCTTGTCTGGACTTGTCATATTTTGATACAATTATAATTTCTCTAAGTAACTATTAAGCACTTTATTTACAAAGTTCTATCCACCTTGAAATAAATTGAATACAATAATTTTACGTTTATCAATAATAATAATAATTATTATTATTATTATTATTATTATTATTCTATTTCAGCTATGGTCACATTACCTACCAAGTCTGCAGGAAGGCCTAAGGCAGGTAGTGGTCTGTTGTTATGACTACATTTCATGATTTGTTTTTCTAACTCCCATAACATCACTAGAGTTAGATGGACAAAGTTCTTCTCAGTGTGGGCTTTACTTATCAAAACAATTTTTTGTATTCCTCTTAAGCTGCGATTTCGAGGGATTTGTTTTTCAATGTGTTGTTGTGTTCCTTTTTTATCATTCCAAGAGCACCTACTATGACTGGTACTATTCTTGTTTTCTATTTCCACATATTTTTCTATTTTGAATTCCAGGTTTTTATTCTTCGATATTTTTTCAAATCCCTTGGCTTCTATGTTATAGTCCACTGAACAAAGCCATATCAATTAGTGGGCAATATTTTTCTTTTCGTTTTTTGACAATTATGTCCGGCCCAGTTGATTTAATCCTCCTGTATGGAAAAATGGTGTAATCCTATAGAATGTTGATGTCTTCTATTTGGGTAACCGGTGCTGGGTGATGTTCATATATTTTCCAAAGTGTTTGCACATTGTTCGGTGTAAACACTGATCCACTCTGTCGTGACGATTTTTTATATTCATTTGACGCAAGTAGGGAACATCTTGAGATTTGATGCCCTATAGTTTCCTGATATTTGTCACAGAACCTACATTTTGGATCCACAATATTATGTAATATATTGGCCTGAAAGTTTCTGAGGAAAATACGTTGGTTTTGTTCTTCAAGAACAAAGGCTTCCGTTTCAGACTTTAGTCCAAATGCTCGTAACCATAGATGAGTGATAACTTTATCAACATCGGCTTAATTAGCCTCGTTCTGGATATTGGCCATGAAGAGGTTTGCGTTGTCTGCATTGTTTCATCTCTTCAAGGGTTCTATCTTTGGCATTCTTTTACATAATTTTTGCTGCAAAGGGTGGTTCTTGGTTTCTGTTTTGGTTTTCTACAGATTCTACAAAATGTAAATCTTTTTTCATGATTGAATATTTTTATTTCTGCTTTCGTGTTATTATTATTATTATTATTATTGTTTTTATTTTCTTTGATTTCTGGCGTTTACACATTTCTTTCCGGTTCCCGCCCAGGGACCTAAGGTTAGAAATGGCATCATGACACTCTCCACTGACAAAAAAATATTACACAGATAAAGTCCCTTGTAAAGTGTGGGCTGTACTTGTCAGAACAATTTTTTGTATCTCCTTCAGGCATGGACTTCCAGGAATCCCTTCAATTAGTCTACTGCAATCTTTTCCAACCAGTCCTAGGGCTCCAACTACAACAAGGATTGTTGATGTTCCCATATGCCACATTTTCGAGATTTCTATTTCAAGGTCCTTGTATTTTGACAGCTTTTTGAATATCTTCAAAGATACATTGCAGTCAGCAGGGACTGCCATATCAATAAAGAGGCACTTTTTTGTTTGTGGTCTTTAATAACAATGTCTGGGCGGTTGGCTTTGATTGTTCTGTCAGTGTGTATTATGTAGTCCCATAGAATTGTCCTATCTCCGTAACCGGATCTGGGTGGTGTTCATACCATTTTCTTTCAGTTTCCTTCCCATAGAAGTTGCAAATTTTCCAGTGCAGATATTGGCCCACTCTGTCATGCCGGGTTTTATTTTCAGTGGGTGCCAATATCGTGCAACTTGATACAAGATGATCAATCGTTTCTGGATATTTATCACAGAATCTGCATTTTGGGCTGACACTATATTTCAGTACATGTGCTTGATAATTCCTAGTTAGCAAGCATTGGTCCTGTGCAGCAAAGATAAAACCTTCCGTTTCAGCTTTCCACCCTGCACTACGTAGCCACTGATGGGTACGGGTTTTGTCTACATCAGCTTGTTTGGTACGGGCAGAGTATTGGCCATGAAGAGGTTTATCTTGCCATAGCTTCTGTATCTGGTCGGTTGCATTCGTCTTTGCTGTCTTTTTTAAGTATTTTTCAGTTTCAGCCGGTGTATTGTGTTGTGCTTGCATCTCTACGCCCATTTGAAACTCCATTTTGAATTTGTTGGATTCCAGTTGGATTCTTAAGACGGAGTAAAGACGCTTACTACTTTCATGTTCCTTGACGCATACCATCATCGAGTCTTCTGTAGTTTCCAAGTATCTTTGGAGGTTAATTGTTGTAGTTTTGTAGGACAGTTCTAGTTGAACTAATCCTCTGCCTCCTTCGGATCTGCTTACATACAGACGATCAACATCAGCTTTGGGATGATGCATGCGGTAGCAAGTGAGAAGCTTTCTTGTTTTGGCGTCCATTCGCTTGATTTCAGCTATGGTCCAGTTAAGGACATTAAAGCTGTATTGCACCACAGGGACAGCCAATGTGTTTATGGCTGATATTCTGTTTTTTGAGTTTAGCTCAGTATTTAGTACCAGACGTACACGCCTGTAGTACTCTTTTCTTATTTTGTCCTTCATTTGGGGGTGTTGTATGCCATCTCCTTCGCTAATTCCTAGGTACTTATAAACTTCATCATGCTCCAGTTCCCTAATCTTTGTGACAAAATCTAAATCTATTAAGGGTGTTTCTGTAATTCTACCTTTCTTGAATGTTACTTTTGCACATTTATCTAATCCGAAGTC